TTAGGATTAATTGTCTCGATCAAAGTTTTTGTTTTGAGTGTGCAGGATTAACTACGATGGAAGAAAGACATACAGCAGGAGTTGCGCCGGAGTCAAGACAATGATCACGTTGGGAGTTCGAGAGTTCTACGAAAGTTCGGACGGTTGTCGGAGGTTCTATGGGAACAAATCCGAGAAGTCCAGGAGCTTGCCAAAGAAGCTTGTCGGAACTCGCCAAGTGGATCGTCGCAAGTCCAGGAGTTTGCCGGAAGTCCGCAGGAGCATCACCGAGGGTTCATCGGATGATCGACGAAAGTTAGCCGGAAGCTCGCCGGAAGAAGCGATTGACGTACCGGAGCAAGTTGCAGTAAATGTCTTAGGAAATAATCGTAGTTAGCACAATGATTAAGTTAGAAATGGGAGGTGATCCCATTAACTTAATCTTAGGGCAATCGGGCCCCTGAAAGACCCAAATTGGGCCGAATGAATCAACCCATTTGGACCTGAAATAGTGCTAGGAGGTAGCACCGCCAGGGTAGGAGGTAGCACCGCCCAGGAGGCAGTCTCTGAGCGAGACTAGGCGGTGCAACCGCCCCAGCCAGGAGGTAGCACCGCCTGGGCTCAGTCTCCGAGCGAGACTGGGCGGTGCAACCTCCCCTGACAAGAGGTAGCACCGCCTGAGCTCAGTCTTCGAGCTCTGCCAGGCGGTGCAACCGCCTCAGTCAGGAGGTGCAACCGCCTGAGCTCAGTCTTCGAGCTCTGGCAGGAGGTGCAACCGCCCCTGACAGGAGGTAGCACCGCCCAGAGGCTCAGTCTTCGAGCTCTGCCAGGCGGTGCAACCATTCCAGTCAAGAGGTGCAACCGCCTGATCCCGGAATTCCGAGAATTGACAATTTTGAGCTCCAAATTTGAAATGGGTTGAGGCCTATAAATACCCCACCCATTCAGCACTGAAAGAGTAAGAACTTACCCGAAATCTTGATCTTTTTCAGTGATTTTTAGAGCTCAAAATTGTTGTAAAGGCCAAAAGTTCTTCTCCCTCTTTTCTTCAAAGTTTTGAGTTGTAAAGAGAGGAAAGAAAATTTCTGTAAGGGTTGTCTCCTAAGCCCATCAAAAGGAGTGAAACTGTAAAAGGGTGGTTGGCCTTCGCCTATTGAAGGAAGGCCTCTAGTTGACGTCGGTGACCTCGTCGGTGGAGGAAGCCAAAAGTGGAGTAGGTCAAGATTGACCGAACCACTCTAAATCTCGGTTTGCATTTACTTTGAGCATATTATCTTTACTGCAAACCTCCTCTGAAGCTTACTGCCTTCTGCGCTTTTACGGTCGGGTTTCAAGCCTTTTACTTTCCGAATCAGCGTTTGGACGTAAATCTGCTTTTTCGTACGATCATCATATTGTAGATTGCGTTTACGTTTTGAGCTTTACCATAACTGCAAATTGCCTTTATACTCTTGCTTAAACTGTGTCTTGCCTAATCAAGTGATTTACGAATAAGCATTTAGACGTAAATCAGTTTCTTCGTACGAATGTCGGATTTCAGTTTGCGCCTATATTCTGGTTTTCATCATAGCTGCAAACTGCCTGCATAGATTGACTTTAATCTTACTTAGAATCGACTTTCACACAGAAATTGTTTTTATCGTTCGAACGCATCTTTCGGTTTTAATCGTAGAAAGTTTTCCGCTGCACTAATTCACCCCCCCCCCCCTCCTTAGTGCTCTCGATCCTAACATAAAATACATACATTCACATTTAGCTCATGATAATTATATCATTCAAAATATATTTTCTAAATATATTATGAATATGATACTTTATATAATCACTATTTTGTAGTGAATTAAACTTATACTTATATAATTGAACTTAAAAATGAAAATGCTAACGAAAAACTATGTTCCTTAATGATCGAGTGTGCTAAGGAACGATATACTTATCAAATTGGGAGCATGACATACCTTAATTAATTATAGAGCTAGGTAGATGTAAGTGTTGTGGGATCAACTTAGCATTCACAGAAGTACGTTATAGTTGAAGGAAAGAGACTTTTGAGGACTCTTCCCATAGACAACAACCAACATTCTTTGATCAACACATACCAATTGTGTCAACAACGTAAAACTTATTCCTCATAGCTCGATCACCATAACTCTCAGAGGGATGCAACACCCAACCATTCCTTCCTCCAACGTAGAAAATATAAGCCCCAATGGAGTCCATACGAGGCCACAACCAACCAAGGCAAGGATGACGAGGGCAATGCTTCAAGTCGACGCCTTGGTCTATTATCAGCAGTGTAATGGAAGGGGAGGAAAGCGATGAGAAATTTCTGTTCCACACTAAAAAAAATTTATATGAAATTAAGAATTTATAAAATAATAAAATTATTTTTTACCCCTTTCATTCATTTTTCCATTAATGAAATTGATGACGATCGAGATTAAATATTTTACTTTCGTAAATATAAAGATTCTAATACTACTTTTTAAAATATAAAAATCAAGATGTTAAACATAAATAATTATAGGAAATAATATATAATTAGCACCGATGATAATGATGATGGTTTTGTATTGTTATTTTGCACTCACGGTACAATTATGAAATGGATTTTTTGAGCTAAGGTTGATAACCAGTGAAGAGGTTCTAATTAAATTAGTCTTAAGATTGGACCAAGAGAGCATATGTCGTGAGTAGTTCTGTCTGACCAGTAGCCAACTCATTGAAAGCGATTACTTTGGTTTTGTTCCCATTTTAAGTCAAGGCAATGAAGAATGATAAATTAGACGCAAACAGAGTTCTCAATAAATGCCTTTTCTTTTATCAGCACAAACTTAAATTAGACGCCAACAGTTTTAACGTTATTATTCTAATAATGAACTGTTATATATATATATATATATATATATATATATATATATAGTCTGTGTGTGCAAATCTGCCTGATATAAAAAGGCCTCTAATATGTCCCATTTTAAGTCAACAACAGATTGTTTAAATGAAAAATCAACATCAATAGACATAATTACTGTCCTCAAAATGCTTAAAAATAAGAATGACATCAAGTGATCTTATTTATTTCTCATGTGATCTGTAGATGAGCCATTGCATTGAGTTGAAAGATTGATCTCTTTTCTTTTTCTTAAATCAACATTTATGATGTTTACAGAGGGGTTAAGTCTTCAACTGCTGAGATCCGCCCTAGGGTAAACCATTGCCTCAACCCTTACTCTAAACGCCAATGTTATAATCGAGTTATTTTTTATCATATAATTCATATCACTTGTCAATTCACATGATGTTGATATTGAATAAAATATTTAAATATTTATGTATATTACAACAATTTGACAGATTTTGACATGACAACAAAGATTATTATATACCTTAAGATCATTTATCCTAAAAATTATCAAGAATGATGTCACAGTCTCATAAATTCGATAAGCATAACTCTTTCAAATTTGTTGTAGATGTGATTTTGATCACCAAGTGACAGAATTTCATCTAGCATTAACTAGCTTATAACCACTGTCTTATTATGCTAATTTACCATAACACAAACAACAAAACCTCACAATCTCGACCCAATCAAAGTCTAATTGCAAGTGATGCAGATCCTCCTTTAGTTTATATGTAATTGAAACTGATCTATGCTACCCACCAAACCCTTATTTGACATCAGCCTCATCTATGATTGATGGATTCCAACAACCACTTTAAGTGCAAAGAGTTATTAGTCATAAGCATCCACCCCGTGGTCATATATATATATATATATATATATATATATATATATAT